AGCAGCACTCCAGCCACGCCAGCAGCCCGCTGCCCGGCCCGTACGCCGGCGAGGCCCGCGGCGTCCACGCGTCCTCCGGGAGCCTGCAGACCTCAAACAGCGTCTCCGGGGCCTCGTTCTTGAAGTGGTCTCCAAAAAGCGGCTTCAGTCGCAGACCGACGGTCCAGTCCAGCGATGCCACCTTCCTGTGAAGCCAAGCCAGCGACTGGACCCACACGTCAGGGGAGGGAGCGACCTCCGGCCTCAGCACCTCGCAGAGCTGCGAGAGGGTGTCCACCACCAGGTCCTTGGTGTGCAGCGAGGGGAAGCACTGCTCCTCGGGCAGGTGCCAGTACCTCGTGTAGCCATCCAGGAGCCTGCAGAGGCTAAGGAGGAGCGGGAACGGGTGGCAGGACTTGATCCAGTGCTCTCCTGGATGGGCCTGCATGCTCAGAAGCTGACTGAGGAGCTGGAGGCTCAGCTCAATCTGAGCGCAGTCCGATCGCAGACAGGGAAGGATAAAGGTTCTAGTCACCTCTGCGGGTGACACGAGGGGAGCCGCCGAGCTCGGCTGCAGGAGAAAGGCCAAGAACTCGAGGAACTGCTCCTCCTCCCGCGCAGTGGAGAGCTTCCCCCACACGGCCTCCTGCAGACACCTGAGCACCAGGCTGCGCGGCCGGCCCGGATCGTCGTGCGTCTCCAGGAAGCTCAGCGCCGGGAAGGAGCAGAGGATCTGCGCGAGGAACTGGTGCGTTCCCAGGTTGACAACAGCCAGACTACAGACCTTCTTCACGGTGGCCTCGGGGTGCAGCAGGGTGAGCCTGGCCACCGAAGCCACGGCCTTGGACAGGCCTTGGTCGGAAACGCTCTGTGTGATCTGGTTGAAGGCCACGTTCAGCTCCTCCTGGAAGCCCTCCATGACCAGCTGCAAGCTGAGGGACAGCCCTGGACCGCCCCAGGAGGCCAGGACCCCTGAGAGCACTTTGTTCTTGTCGGTTAGCGAGAGCTCGGTGTAACACTCCAGGATGGCTTTGGTCACCTGCTTCTGCAGCTCTTGGTCCTCTCTGTCTTGGGAGGACGCAGTAAAGTTCACCACGGTCTCCAGCAGCTTCAGCACTAGCTCTGGTTTCTGGAAGAGAGCTTTGTTTTTCACAAGGCAGTCAACCCAGTCCTTCGAAAAGGCCCAGGTGTGTTCGGAAGCAAAGACGGAGCACAGCTCCATGTGCCGGTCCAGCTTCCGCTCAATGATGGTCATGGCAACCGAAGAGACGAGGCTGGCGTCCGAATCCCTGCTCTTCAGGCTGGCGCTGATCTTCTCCAGAAAGCGCTCGATGATCTGCGTCAGCTCTAACACGACGACCTTCTTGTCCTTGCTCAGGTCCCTGGTGTCCGCGACGCAGGCCAGGCTCTTCCCCAAGGCGGTGAGAGCATCGAGGAGCCGGTAGCTCTGGTAGCAGAGCTCCTCGGAGCTGTTCAGGGCGCCCTGCAGCTCCTCTCCCCACGCGTGCAGCAAGTTGCGGAGCAAGGACAAGCCAGCAAAGAGCTCCTCATCGGAGAGCCTGGCCACGGACAGGAGGCTCATGCTCCTCTCGGCTTCCCTCACCTTCTCGTCCAGGCCTCTCTGGTGGTAGCGGCTCTCGGCGTCGCTGTTCCAGAGGCTGACGACGGAGCAGACCTTGTGCAGGTACTCGGCCACGGGGAGGGCGCTGCCCTGCGGCTCCGGCTCGGCGAACGCGCGGAGCAGCTCGGCCAGGTTGGCCAAGGCGTAGCACTTCATGCGGGGCAGCGCGATGCTCCGCTGGGTCTGCTCCAGCCCCTCTATGAGCACCATGGGCAGGCTGGCGGCAGCAGGGCCGCCCGGCCCGGACACGGGGTCGCTCTTGAACCTCTTGGGCGGCTGCAGCCCCTCGTCCGGGGCGGGCTCGGCGCCGTGCTGGCGGAGGAGG